TTTCAAGTATGCAATGCAGTATTGCTACCTAGTGTTGAACGAATTATTTAGCACCGTGTGCCTCAGTTTCATATATAAAATAGGAATATCGACAGCGACGAGTGCGAAGGTCTTTGTGAGGATCCGTGAACTGAGATATGTCATGGATTCGGGATGGCGCCTGGAGCTGGCACTTTAATACAAGTTTACAACATAACGTCTGTGTCCTGGAACACAAGCTTACAATACAGTATAAACTGGCACAGTTTTGTTGCTTCTGCCCTATTTTGAGTGCTTGGTCTGCTTTCCGCACTCTGTTACATGCTTTATGTGTATTGCCTCGTCCAATCACGCCCATTTTACAGTAGGGGACACTGAGGCACAGATACAGAAGGAGATTTACCTCCAGGGCCACACAGCCCCTAAATGGCAGAGCCCAGGCACTAGGATGTGACACAGCCACACTCCCTCAACCTCTTGGTGACCTGACCCCACCTGTCTGTGAGCGTGGGCAGGGGGACTGAGCGCTCGGGGAGGGACATAGCCAGAAAGGGGCGGGGCGCAGCCGAGACACTGGCCACCGCCGTCTTTAACATCAGAGTTTCCTTCTCTCCCAGGAGTTTACAACAAGCCTTCACTCTTAGCCCAGCCCAGCCCGGCAGTGTCCCCAGGAGGGGACGTGACCCTACAGTGTCAGACTCCATATAGCTTTGACCAATTTGCTCTGTACAAGGAGGGGGACCCTGAGCCCTACAAGAATCCCGAGATGTGGTACCGGGCCAGTTTCCCCATCGTCACCGTGACTGCTGCCCACAGTGGGACCTACCGATGCTACAGCTTTTCCAGCTCAAACCCGTACGAGTGGTCAGCCCCCAGCGACCCCCTGGAGCTCGTGGTCACAGGTAAGGGGTGTGGAGACCAAACCTTTCTTCCTCAGCCTCTGTAGGTTCTGAAGGCGGTTCCGGGGTAGGGACCGTCGGTGCACGGGAAGTGGGAGGCAGGGAAGCCCCCGGCTCCAGTCAGCTTTGGAGGGTGTATTAGTTTCTTGTCGCTGCCGTAACAAATTACCACGGACTCACCGGCTTACAGCAACACAAGTTTATTACCAATCTATTACCTCCCCATTCTGGAGGTCAGAGATCCGACCAAAGTGGGTCTCACTGGGATACGATAAAGGTATCGACAGGGCTGGTCCCTTCTGGAGGCGCTAGGGGAGAATCTGTTCCCGTGTCCTTTCCAGCTCCTGGAGTCCCCTGCATTTCTTAGTTTTGGCGACTTCTTCCCTTCTTCCATCTTCGAAGTCAGCAGGGCGGCGTCTTTAAACCTCTCTCTCTGACCATTCTGCATCCCTCCACCAGGTGTAAGGACCCTGTGATGATCCCACTGGGCCCGCTGATATAATCCAGGCTGATCTCTGCATCTCAAGGGTCTCAATTTAGTCACAACTGCAAAGTCCCTTTTGCCACGTAAGGCAACATATTCCGAGGTCTGGGTGATTAATAGTCAGACGTGTCTTCTGCAGAGTATATATGCTAAGAAAAAATAATTCTTACTACCGTGAATAATGCCTGTGTCTGGTCTGGGGTTTCAAAAATAAACAAACAAGCAAACAAGAAGAACCTCTAGAAGTTACTAAAAAACAACGCTATTGCAGGAAGAATCCAGTGAAATGACTGTCCTCACAGTACGATCACATGTTCAGACTTTCTTATTTTTAATAACATAAGGACAAAGTATCTTTGTGAAAAAGCTCGCTGCCAACTCCTTTGCATCAACTGATGCAACTGGAGAACAAGTATTGATGTTTCGTGCTCACCGTTGTTTTAGGATTATGTATTTCCACAAGTATTTGAAGACAATCCACTTATTTAAAATATCTCCGTATGGAGAAGACTAATGATTCTGTTAGCAATGGGAGAATTCTCCTAGTTGTCAGCAAATTAAAAAAGTTAGTGCAGGGTACAATGAAAATGTGCTTGTATTCAGACTCATTTTCATTCCAATCGAGCTAGTGAGGTCATTATTGACTAAAAGTTGCTATCTTTTTTTTTTACAAAACCAGCTTTATAGTGGTATAATTTATATGCCTTAAAGTTCACCCATTTTTGAGTGTCCAATTCATAAAGTTTAGTAAGTTTTTGGGGGGTTGTGCAATCTTCAGAATCCAATTTTAGCACATTTCTGTCACAGTAAGAAGATCTTGTACCCATTTGCGGTCACTTCCTGTTCCCACCCCCCCAGCTCCAGGTGACCGCAAATCTACTTCCTCTTTGTATAAATTTGCCTTTTCTAGGAACTTGGTATCCATGGCACTGCGTGCGTGGTCTTTCACAACTGGTTACTTTCAGCATAATATTTTTGAGGTTCATTTATATTGTAGCCTGTATCAATCTTTTATTCTTGTCCCTTTAATTTTTACTTTTAATCAACAAATGTTAATTGTATACATTTATGGGGTATGATGTGATGTTTTGATATACGTATGCATTGTGGAATGATTATATCAAGGTCATTAACACACCCATCACCTCATCTACTTATCATTTCTTTATAGTGAGAACATTTAAAATCTACTCTTTTAGCAATTTTGAAATATACAGTACATTATTATTAATTATGATTACTATTCTTAAGGGGGGATTCTTTCAAAAGAGGACAGTATATCTCAAGAAGAAAATGTGTGTACACACACACACGCACACACACACACACACACGCACACACACACACGCAATGGAATATTATGCAGCCTTAAAAAGGAAGGACATTTTGATAAATGCTACGACATGAATGAACCTTGAGGACATTATGCTGAATGAAATAAACCAGTCGCAGGACACAAACTGCATGATTCCACTTATATGGGGTATATAATGTATCTAATGTAATCAAAATTGTAGAAACAGAAAGTA